TTTTACTTTCCTACTGTCTACTAGCCACACTCCGTAGTAGCACTGATGTCCATCACACCAACCTCTGATGCTGTCCCTACAATCATTCTAAGAAAAAATTGACTTTTCAAGAAAGTCCAACTTTGCAACTGCTTACCCCCATGTGAAAGTGATCAGGTCTGTCTAAAGCTGGCCATACACCTATAGATTATCTGCAGATTTTCTATGGTCAGATGGGAAAAGTGCAACAGATTCCTCCATCTACACTAAACTGTGTGGCTGGAGGAATCCCACTGGGCCAAGCTTCAGTATCTTGCTAGTCGGCTCTGCTGGCTCTCAAAAGACCTGAACAATGGCCTGCATCTAATCAGATTGTTCAGGTATTTTGACACCTGCAGGGCCGAATAGCAAGATACTGAAGCTTGGCCCAATGGGAGATTGCTCCATCCACATAGTTTAGCGTACATGGAAGAATCTGTTGCACTTTTACCATCTGACCATAGAAAATCTGCAGATAATCTATAGGTGTATAGCCAGCTTTAGATACTGATCAGTGCTTTGTAGGAGTGCAGGGAAGTGTGAAGTGTTCCTTATCTCTGCAAGTATAACAGGGCTGATAGCAGTGGGGAATAGGGGCGATAGGCAGCAGTAAATTTAGATACCAGAAGATACCAAGTGAATGGTGTGTTTGTATGTGTGCAGATGGGGGGGGCTGATTTTTCTTTTGTTGACAGGTTTTGCAATCTCTAGGTTCTGTCATTTCCCCACAGTGTTTTCATATGAAAGTACTAAGGCCTCAACAAGTGATCCCTTGCATACAACAACTTTATTCAGAGATTTACAAAATCATTTTTTTTTTATTACTCTAACATGCCAAAAGTAAAATTGCATTTTAAACATGCTGAAAAATCTCTGTCTTTTCTACAGTAAAGTAATAATTGGCACCAGATTTATTTGATTTGGGGTTTGAGCAGCAAGAATAGGCAGACAGATATTTCGTCACAGCAGAATAAAGATCTAAACCTTAGGCTTTTTCTTTTGCAATGTGGAAAAAGCCATTTGTATGTATTCAATCAAAAGCTCAAACAAACACATGACCGCAGTACACTTTGTATTCTGTTTCTTCATAAATAAATAGTATTTTGTAGAAACATCATGCTTGATGGAAAGAGGGTTTGGAGATTTTAGCATTCATTAGAGTTAATGTGTTTTGTCTATGTTTATTAAAAGCAGAATGATGTATGCTATAAACATACAAGCAGTTTTCACCAGCCCGGCTCCTGTCTTGACTGTTTATATATCAACAGAGATTGGAATGGCTGTATGTGTCAGTGACAAACAAAACTACTCGGAGAGTGGGACAGGCGTGACAGGTTTAATATTTATTTTGGCCCTCTGTATATGTCTAGAAAGTCAATAAGAGCATGCACATTGCTTAGAGGAGTTCCTATAACCAGTTGTGTCAGATCTTGGTATTACCTAGTTACATATAATTCACTTCCAAGTAATCATAATAAAGGTAACTTTTCTGAACCGCAATTCTTTACTAATCCACTAAACAGTACAGTACCGTGCTAGTTAATGTCATTTTGAGTTACTAGAATTTTAAACACAGTTTGAAATGATTATTTAAATATAATTTGATTTGTTTCCCTGCTTTATTTGGCATTAATTTAGTTTTGTAGTGAAAGTGTTACCTAGAGGTAGAATACCTATGGAGCTTTGTTGTGGATATCTTCCTCTGCTAATCCCCCGTCCTTGCCTATCCCTCTGCCTATGTCTGCTAGAATTAGGACTTTAGGAGTGAATTAGGACATTCGGTTAGAATGTTGAATGAGCAAAATCAATTTCGGAGCGTCTGTTCGACTTTCTAGTCGTCGGTGGGGTCAAATTGAAGGAGCATGTTGGAAAATATTTCTCAATAGAACGAAATACTAACATTGAATGTGCTTTTCCTTCAGGAAATTCCATTTGTTCCAAAATCAAATAAAACAAAATTTTGAAGGACAATCACCAAGTCTGTGATGGCATTATCGAACGTTCCGCCGGGATTTATTGTATCTACCCATGTATACCCTAACTTAGACTGGTAGACATAACAGTGGAAGCAGTGAATTGAGAAGTTGGATAGCAGAACTTTAGAGTGTGGCTCAGTCAGTATTACTTTAATGCGTCAACTCAATGGGGTTTGTTTACTAAATCAGTATAGGCTGTCTACTTAGCAAAGTGAATATTCACCCAACCATGTGCTAGAAAAAAACTTGTCTATTTATTTTACTCGCACATGATTGGGTATTCAAAGTGAACACAGCCTTACCTTATTCACTAACATACACTTTCACCTAGCAAAGCAAATTAGCCTTTTTGAGCATTTACTTTGCTAGGTGAACAGCCTTTTAGGTACCTAGGTAATTGGTAAAAATTCAATTTGCAAAGAATACCTAATCCCGAGCAAAGAAAGTAAAAAAATAAAAAACAGTATTTTTGCGTGCACATGATTGGGTGATGGAAGTCAGCAGAGCTTCACCTCATTCACTAAGCTAAGGGAAAATCCCCCTGCAAAGTACAAATTCCGTTGCAAAGTGAACTGCTTATTTGCCTTTAGTAGATCAACCCTAATGGCAACATGGACATTTCCCTAACCCATAACAGCCTGGTGAAATATGATTGTCTAGTGTAGGTTACTACACACTATTACATTTGCAAAGTCATTATAAACTAACATACAGTACATATTACTGACTTTCTGTTTGCCTTCCTGTTTATCTGTCATTTCATACATTCCTTAGGGTAAACAAAGAGTTCTCAAAATCAGTGTAGGTGTATAATCCATTCCAACCTGCCTTGTAGGGAAACATGTGTGAAGCAGATATACTGTATAAAATGCTAATATAATTACACTTATAGGATCTAGCACTACCAACATGGAATACTGATTTTAGCACCCAAGGGCAAGTATTTAAAATAAGAATTTGAAGGCATAAAATGGATAAACATGAGAATTATACATTTGCATTCAAGTGGCCTGGTTCAAAGCATACACTTGTTTGCTATAAGGAAGGGTGTGGTGTGGTGTGGTGTGAAGGACAGCGGAAGATACATACACACTTACTGGCAGCTTCAAGAAAAACTCTGTCATCTTCCTTTGGCTGTCCCATACATGGCCGAGGAAAGCAATCAATGTGAATCATTTGTTAAAACCAGACCATGTAGAGGTGCTTTAAGCGCTTTTAAAAAGCGAGTGGTAATTTATATATATCGCAAGGACATTTTTTATTAGGCTGGAAAATCTTTTGTGGTCAGCAACTAGTTATTGTCTCTTATAGTGTAAAAAAAGGACCAATGGTTGTATTGTATGTGCCATATCCAAAACAGGAAAGTAAAACCCAGTGCCCATCTACTTTTTTATGGGCACCCGGAGGTTCCCTGTTTAAAGGACAAATTCAGTGGCAGAACTACTGCTGGTGCAGCCGGTGCGGCTGCACCAGGGCCTGAGACTGGGGGGGGTGCCCAGGACCGGACCTCACTGGGCCCCCCCACAGGTGGAATATGGGGTCCTGCACTTTCAACGTGCTTCTCAGCAAGGGGGTGGGGTCCTTTGACTCATCGTTATGACTTCCGGCCACGTCCCTAGTAACAGGAGGCGGGAGAGGAGAAGTGTGTGTGTGTCACATGCCCCACCCCTGCACACCGTCTGGCTGGGATGTTGTGAGGCTTTAGCTGGGTGAGCAGGAAAGAGGCTCGGGGGAGGAGGCGAGGAGCGGGAAGGATGGGGGGTACGGGTGTAACTGCTCACTGTGTGCTGTTATTTCATTTAATTAGAAAAATGGATTATAATAGGGAACTTTACACTCTAATGTTGCCTATTATAATCTATTTATTTGATTAAATGATTACAGACAGGGCCACCATAAGGGGGGTATGGCCGATATCCATGTGAGGGGTCTGGGCAGCCTGGGGGGCCCCTTACATGGGTATTTGCTGTACCAGGGGCAGCATGGCAGAGGTGACAGGGGAGGGAGTGGAGGAGGCTGGGCCCCAGCAGCAGCAGGTAAGAGGAGTTGGGAGGAGGTGCTATGAAAGGGACCCCGGTGACGAGCCCACCTGAGATCCTGCAGAGCCCACCATAGAGAGTCTCAGATGGGCCGTGCAGGATCTATGGTGTGCTCTGTAGGGTCACTCTCAGGTGGGCTCTGCGGCGTCTCAGGTAAGTCCTGAGTCCAGTGCGTTGCTAAACCCTGAGTCCAGTGCATTACTAAGCCCAGAGTCCAGTGCGTTGCTGAGTCTTGAGTCCAGTGCGTTGCTGAGTCTTGAGTCCAGTGCGTTACTAAGTCACTAGCCCCCTCAATACAATATACTGTGTCACATACCTACCCCCCACAGGTCCTTACTTACCTTCTTTGATGACTATGGCCTCCTGCATTGTCTGCAGCTCAGCCAGTAGCAATGTAGTGGTCTGCTGCCCACACCTGTACACTAACATTCCCATATACTTGAATGGGATCTGCCTGTCTTATTTAGGTCTTTGGGATTTTAGTGCACAGGCAAGGGCAGCCGAGCACTAGATTTTTTTTCCTGGAGGACTGCAGATAATAATTGATTGATACAGCTGGCATTTCTATTGACAAAAACTTTAAAGGGGTAATTAAAATAGAACATATTAACATCAACAAACTATTACAGGCACAAGGGTCCTTTGAAGTACTAGCAAAAAGGCCTCTATGCTTGCAGCATGGTGACATCTTTCTACATCTTTCTACATAATGAAACTCCCATTCAGGACTGCTACAGTGCTCCTGGAAATATCTAATACTCAATATATTAATACAGTGTATATTGAAGAAGCTATATCTTTTTTTCTCTTAATACATAAAGTAATTTTGGAAACCAATTTGTTCTATAGGTAACACAATTCTTATATGATCTGTAAATGCTATATGGCTCCTGGAGTAGACGATGGTATTTTGTGACAATAATATAAGTTATCTTTTACATAGCTGTACACTGTCTTGTTGTTTCAGCTCTGTGTGGGCTTCAGCACCAGCAGTAAATGGAGGACACATTACATTAAGTGATGAATTACATGGGTTACTTCAAGAGGTTGTATCAAGGAAAGGATCTATTGTCATTTTCCTCCAGGACACAGTATGTATCTAACTGACATTACAAGCTGAAATTCTTCTGTAATAGGATTACTCTGTGAATGTTTCTTATTTTGTCTCTTTTCAGCTAAGCATGGATGACATCACATATTACAGCACAGTGTCTGGAAGTGAGAACCCACTGTATAATGTGCAGGCAAGTTTCTATACACACTTATTAAGGTGGCACAGTTTATATAAATCACATCACACATCCTGTTTTAAATGCCCGTTCCTATGATGCACCTTTTCTCTACCAGATTATGTCTATTTTTGGCTTTCATGCTTTGATTAGTATAAAATTCGCCCACTAACATAATTTTTTTTTAAAAACAGACAGATATATCAAACTTCCCCAGTGCTCAATCCAGCTTGTCAGCACAAAAAAGATGAACTCAACTGTTTCAACAAGTACAGACATGTCTACATGTCCCAGTTTTAGGCCGGCTTTGCATCTATGCTTTGGCACAGTACAACATGCATCATGAGGCATCCATTTTCAAAGGTGCCTCAACACACTAAAGGAACATACCTCCAATGCACCTGCAATGTATTGAGGTGCACTGTGCCTTGAAAAACATTGAATTGGCTGCTTGGATGCTCAACTCCATTAATGCACTTTGTAGAGGTGTCTTGACATAGCCGTGTGGCTTTACATATATTTGCAGTTATATGCAACTAAAAACCAATGTTTCTAACCTAAATACTGATCCAGTTAAAATAGGCTTTTTGTGCTGACTAGCTGGATAGAGTGCTGGGGAATTTTTGTATATTTTTGATCAGTAGTTATGGGTACATAGTGGGCAGCAGGGCAATCCATATAGTGAGGCAACCTGAGACTGTTACATCAAGGGGCATCTCATTGAGAGAGAGGTAGGTGTGTGGGTGGGGGGGGGGTAGCTGCAGCATCCTAGGTTGCTAAGAGCTCTTGGCAACCTGTGACTCTTTGTCCAGCTTCCTGCCCCGCTTGCTGACATCATAAGTTGACAGGGAGTTGAGCAGAATGCTCTGGCTGGCGTTCTGTTAAGCTCTTGGCAGCCAGTGACGTCAGTGAGCTAGACGGGACGGGACCGGACCAAGGTGATGGCTCTCGATCCATCTAACACAGTCGCTCTCATCCTACCGCATCCAAAAGCACCCCCCTCAGCACCTGCTGCCACACAACCCCCCCTTCCCCGCTGCCTCAGGCGACATTAAGGATAGGGACAGCCATGGTGGGCAGCATGGGTAGAAAATGTATAATTTAGAAATCATATTCCATATTTTAAAGCAAACATGTCACATGTGTCCCAAGATCACAGCAGGGGCAGGCTGAAACAATTTAGAAATCAATTTTTAAATGTAAGTTAGGACTACTGCATAATAGCCAGGTGAAAGGTTTCACTCGGGATCCCCATTACTGTAAGAATAACTTACAAATAATAATAGTTTCTTTTCTTGGAGTTGAAGACCATTTTCTTCAAGATGTCGTTGGATATTCACATATAGTGAAAGTATATCTCAACAATGGAAATGTATATTTATGAAACATTTTTGAGATGTACTTTCATGCCCCAAGTGTGGTCCATTAAATTTGTGCAAAATTTCTGTGGTCCTTAAAGTTGTATAGCTAATTGGAATTCAATGGTTTAATTGGATATCTATATCCCAAAAACACTGGGACCTATAACAGGTGTGGCCAGAGGCGGCTCTTTAATTAGGCAAATTAGGCGGTCGCCTTAGGCCTCGCGCTCCCGAGGGCCTCGCGGCCGCCTAATTTGCCCTGCCGTCACATTACCTCACAGCCAGGTAATGTCATGAGCTCTTAGCCCTGTCGCTGTCAAACAGAGACTCTCCGTTTGACAGCGACAGCGCTGAGAGCTTATCTGTTTCCTCGGTCCGTCCATTCGGCCAGTGGTCCTCTGGAGCTCCGCCCACCAGCCATTGGGAAGCCATCTCACCCCTCCCATCCACCGTGCGAGGATCCCAATCTGGCTGGGAGGGCGGAGTTGAATCTGGGAGGGCGGAGTTAAATCTAGCTGGGAGGGTGGATCGTCAGGGGCAGATGGACGGAGACGTAGTCAGCAACGGCTCGTCCTGCACGCTCCCGCCCGTGAGACGCTCCCACCCGCGAGGCGCTCCCTGCACAGTCCTGATAAGAAGCAGCCTTCACAGGCTACAGCAATGGTGAGAGCCCTGTGACTCTGGAGAGTCCTGTGGAGACCCTAGGTAGCCTCAGTTTACCCAGGGCTCTGTGGGGTCTCACCAGCTGTTTGTGGGGTCTAACAAGGCTGGTTAGACCCCACAGAGCCCTGGTCTAACCAGGGCTCTGTGGGGTCTCAACTGGGCACTGAGGGGTCTAACCAGGCTGATGAAACCCCACAGAGCCCTGGTGAGACCCTACAGAGACCTGGGTTATTCAGGGCTCTGTGGGGTCTCACCAGGGCTCTTTGGGGGTCTTACTGGGGCTCTGTGGGGTCTCACCAGCCTGGTTAAACCCCACAGAACCCTGGTGAGACCCCACAGGCCTGAGCGGGGCCTCATGTTTAGGTTTCGCCTAAGGTCTCGCAAACTCTAGAGCCGCCTCTGGGTGTGGCCCCCTCTGTGTTACTAAATAGAAGTGTCCTTTTAATGTACTGTAAAGTATGTACCTTATGCAATACAAAGTGCCAATTCTTCTTCACCTCAGCCAGTGTGTTTTCTTTATAGTGTTATTAAATGTTTATGCACTTGGATAATTATTTGCATGCACACCTGCATAGCTCATGTGACCAGTTTATTAGTGCTGTTTCAATGGTTATAATAGCATCAAATAATCACTTTCAATACAAATTAATACTCCACAAACATCAGTGTGTTTACTTTCCATTAATTATTTACAACCCTTGCACTTGGCTCATTTGACAGGTGACCTTTACATGAAATAATTCACTATGCTTAATTTTGCTGCTACTAAATGATCACTTAATACATTTATCATGTTTGTTATAAATCCTTCAACAATCTATCACAGGGCATTATGGATTCTTCACCATCCTCCCTAGTTCTTCCTGCTGTGGAGTGGAGGACAATTCCTAATCTGCACGGATACCTTAAAAGCCAAGCTGACTGGAATCTGATCAGTGTAGACAATTTGAATGAGCCTTTATTAGATCTGGATTACACAAAACCAAACTTAATTATGATAAATCTACAGCCAATACCCAGGTACAAAACATGACAATTTAATTATTTTTTGTTAATTTTACCGATATTATTAAAGAGGACATGCTGCAGCAGCTTGATGTTTTAATACAAAGGTAATGTTCAAAATATATTGAAATATTTTGCTGGATGTACAAAGGAGAGGTTTTTTTTACAAGGAAAGTTCTAGGGACGACCTATCTCTGATTGGTTAACTTTACTGAGGTTCTGATTCTAACAGCATGGTCTGCAGTCTCTAACAGCTGTCTAGCTTTTCAATGAATAAGCTGCTCCCAGGCACCATTAGATGGGGATGTTTATAGATGCTGGACTTACTCTGAATATAAAGCCCACCCCCCTGGGAGCAGCTACTTTATACAGCATACATTACTTATTTATAATAGTAAGCAGTTATCACTAGGGCTGGTAATGATTAAAATTTTCGTGTTCGATTAATACATTTTTTTTTAATCGATTAATTTGATTAATTATAACGCACATACAGATCCAACTTCATTGGCCTATACACATACAGCACAGCAATGAAGTAATAAAATGAACTAGGATCACACTAATCCAGCACGTTATTAATCTCACGACGTGCCCCACTCAATATGGCCGCCGCTTGAGTGGGGCAACTCAGAATAATAACGTGCTGGATTACAAATGTATTTACATAGTATAGTAAAACAGCAAAGCCCTAAGGGTGATTTAAACATAAGTATTAGCTTAATATTTGAAGTAGCAGCACCTGTCCATTCCATTTCATGTAAGGACATGATTGCAACATAATATAAGTAAATTTCAATGGGCACATTTCTGGGAGCGAGATGGGGGGGTTAATGGAGAGCCACATAGTGCCTATATATAAGTTTAAGATAAGACAGAAGCTTGGTGCTTCTTGGGCAAACTCACCGGCCCAAGTGGCTCCATCGGCTAACGAAGGGAAGGGGGACTCCTCCCCCCTTCCCTTCGTTAGCCGACGGAGCCACTTTGTGAAAGGAGGAGGAGTCCGGTGACGTCAATGTCCGTGACGTCAACAGATCTCCGAGGGGACTCCCGAAAGCTGGCGGAGAGGTGAGTGTTTTCATTTTCGATCAAAAGAATTTTAATCGATCAAAAAGTTTAACGATTAATCGAGGAATTAATCGTTAATTTCCCCAGCCCTAGTTATCACATCTCTTTTACTGGTTGCAGAAATTGATTAGAGCATGTCCAGTGTTAAAGGAAACGAGTGAAGACCAAGGCAGCCATTGCTAAGTTCTCCTTCTGCAAATAATTTCTAAGTGCTAGTTCAGCCATTTCTTTGGAAAACAATTTTAGTGCCCATTCACACTTGTGTACATGTTGAGGTGTCTTTTTAGGTCCATTAACTCATGTTATGTTGAGCATGCCCATTCAGTTTCAGTGGAGTCTCAACCAAACACTGGAACAACATGAATTGTATGTGCAGTGCCAATTACTTTTATAACACCGGGCGCATACATGGACAAAACTCCTCACCATCAGTTGCTGACAATTTGCACTTAAAACGTACAATCTATTCCATAAAGCAGTGAGTCAGGACTTGAGCTTGAGATGCTGCAGAAGGAATGGGAATATATCTTTGCTCCTAAAGGCTAGTTCACATCAGTGGCCGTGTGTCTTTTTGTGGTAACACGCACATTTACTTGCGCTTTACCGCAGTGTACGGCAATGCATAATAAATACATTGGTGTGATGCAGTCCCCTTCATTCTGAATGAGACTCCAACACACCCTGCCAATAGAAATGCACTGCAGCGCAATGCATACACCATTTTTTGGCAGCGTACCACAATGCACCTTACTTTGTAGGATCAGCATGGTGCATTGAAGCACCATTCGGAATGAATGGCACTGCATCGCAGCAACACAAGTAATGTGCATTATGATAAAACGTATGCTGACATGCACCTTACCGCAATGCCATAGTGTGAACTAGCCCTAAGTCTACAATATAGTTTGCTCATGATTGGGTATTCAAAGTGATCACATGTTTACCTTATTTACTATCATTCACATTTCAAAGTGAACATATACACTACTTTCCAAAGAAAATATTCTCCTTGTTAAGTGAATAGCCTGGACTCCTCTTATCAAGAAAAGTATATGTTCACTTTGCATAGTGAATATTCATGGGTAAGGTGACCCTGTGTTCTTAATGAATATCTAATCATTGACAATACAAAAAAACAGCATTTTGGCTGGCACATTATTGGTTGTTTGAATTGAACACATGTTCACCCTATTCATTAAGCTCAGTGACCATTAACGTTTATCTAAAACCAAGCTTCTTTCCATTTTGGGTAGATTAAGGAAGGATTAAATCCAAGTTTTTTTTTTTTCCCATCTGTGTCCCTGGGAAATTTTCCTTTCATATGTTGTTCTGTGGACTCAACAGGAAGTTAGACAATATCTTTCTAGCTGTTCATGGGGGGAAATCCCCTCATGAACAGCTGTCTCAGGAACAAGTATTCCCATTGGAAGATATTCCCCTCCATTCTTATTCTGGGGGCAACTCAGAACTTTAGATTTACCCTCACTTTCATTCCCAGTAAAACTGGTGATCAGGATAGAGACAAAGACAACACTAAAAACTGACAGTGGTTCTAACCCAGAGCTGCCCCTATAATGAGGCACCCTGAGGTTTTTGCCTTAGGCGGCACTCTCTTGCCGACATCTCGCCAAGCTCCTGGCAGTCAAATGGGGACTTTTTGCTTTTACTAATTCAGTTTATTGTTCTGTTTCTATCTGTAGATCTAATCAGATATCTGCTGTCACTGCATTCTCTGAAAATGGTGAGTTTAATATTTGTTTAATGTTTATTCAGATTATTTAAAGGTGGCTCCTGTCTATAGCAGTAGTACTTTAAACTATTAAACCTATCTTCTCTGCTTGTGTTCGACTTAAATCACTTGCAAGCTTCATTTTATACCTCTAGGGGGCTCCATTTGCACCGACCTCCTACACTTTTCAATATGGAATATACAAAAAGCTACATGGTATAATATAATGCCCCAGTTGTGGTTTTAGCTGGGAATACAGATGGCAACATGGGAAGGTCTTGTCACCAGAGTCACACACAGAAAAGCTGGCAATCCATCCCAACGGATTCCAAAACAAATATAAATCAATCTAAAATGGGTTTACTTCCACCACACCCCAAAAAAGGATTATTACTGCATTGTACCACATTTTACAGGATTGCCCATGTCACCAGTTATAGCCATGCATCCATGCAATGGTGCATAGTCAAGGTAGAGCGTGGTCTACATCCTTGTCCCCTGCAAGGAGTGTTGAATTTGCTGTGTGATCATTTATAGGTCACAGCCCAAAGGTTTGCTAATGAGTGCACAGGAGTCAAGAGGTAAGGCAAGCTGTGGGCCTGAAAGTGTGACAAAGGGCAATACTGAGGAACCAGGAATCTTGTTTAATCACATAGAGGAGTAACAGTAACAGGAGTCAAAGCCAAGTCATAATTGATTGCAGTAAGAACAGGGATAGGGGGTCAAGCTGGAGCAGGAAGAAGGGGTCAAGTAGAGTCATAGCCATGAGCATCAGAAATCTGGTTTCAAGCCCAATCAAAGCCAATAGAAGCAAGGGCAGGAACTGTAGGTCAAGTAAAGCAATTACTAGGAGCAACAGGAACAGAAACTAGGATATCCATAAAACACATTTGTGAGCATGGAAAGGCAATGGAATAAAAACCTTTACTAAGGCATTTTCTAAATGCACTAAACCCAAATGATGCCAGCTGACAGATGATTGCATGGACATACTAGCGTTTACGGGATTACTGCATTAAGGTAACCAGTTGGTGCTTACCACATGCCTTGCTTCAGAAAGAGGATTTCACTGAGAAGGTAAATGGGGGATGTTGACATCGGGAAACAGTAGAGTAGCCACAAAATGCCAGATGGCCAGCACTGTCAGCACCTGCTGGTGGCTCATGATAAGGAAAACAAAACAAGGCAAAGTGATACTGTTTGTTATGCCATAGGAGGTATTGAGAGGTACCTGGAACAATCAGCTCAGGAAGTGAGCCCTACAGAAGTTCGAACAAAGTGAAATAATCAGTTTTGGTTGGACTTGGAATAGCTAGTCCAAATCAAAACTGTTTTTAGTAAATGCCTTTCTATATGTCTCGGAGTTTAAGACAACACATCAATACTTCTGAGGGTCTAGTTATACCCATCTGCTACAGTCATTGCGAGGGCGCGAATATTCTTTGTTGGAGCTTACATTTATTCTACATAAGATAGATTCCTCCTACTGAATTTGGAATGTGACTCCATGGTGATAAAGGGCAGAACTGGAAGCTTCAGTGGAGAGATACAGTATTTCTGTTGGAGTCCCTGAAAGAAACCAGTGACTTATTCAGCTGGCAAATATTCAAAACCAAAATATCAGTTTTGGGGGACTGACCCCACAACGTTTAACTCTGCAATGATAATATTGGAGGCCATGGAGCTGGTAACTGTAAAGAACCCATTAGTTTCTTATACATTTACACATGTAATGACTTAGCACATTTTTTTGTTTTATTTTCCCTTCTTTATATGTATACATGTAGTGCTCTTATTAAAGAAAATAATTAGTTTGTCTGGATAAAACAACTATTTTCCATCCCTAAAGTGCTTTTGTATGTTTCAGTAAATGAACTGAGTATTGAACTATTGTTATCCATAACTGTGTACAAATGACAGCATGTTAGCAGGGATTTAAATAAAACCGCGCTTGTTCTTTGCTGAACGGCAAAGGTTAGTGACATTCTTGGTAGCTATAGCTACTGTTGTTGCCTTTTTTCCTGTAGCATGCTAAATAATATATCTTTGTCTCTAAGGGCATCAGAATGCTTTAATGATAAGGACACATATGTTTGGCTTGTAAGATACTTCATGTTATTTTTAAATAGTGTTATCAACATGAGGACAGAAATAGAGATGATATTTAGTAAATTAGAGTTACTAATAGTTAATTGAAATATCTTCGTAACTAGGCACAGTTCAACAGTTTTTATTATGAACACTAGTATATAACCAGTGCACAATATGCTTGCCAGTGGCCTAAATAACGTCTAACAGTACTAATTTAGTAATATGTCTTGTTATAGCACTGCAGAGCAGAAAACAAATTAAAAAAATATCTATATATATACTGTATGTATATATATATATATATATATATATGTATATATATATATATATACACACACACTCACAAGTATATACATATATATATATAAGGTCCTCTTTTTGCCACAAAATAGCCCTTACCTGTCCAAGCAAGGACTCTTCTAGACCTCTGAAGGGATGTTGGGGTATCTGGCACCAAGCCGCCAGCGGCAGTTCCTTTAAGTCCTGTATTTTGTATGGTGGGGCTTCCATGGATCTGACTTGTTTTGCCAGCACATCCCACAGCAGGGGCATCCCCATGCGTGGTGTAACCGGGAGCGCCCCCCGGGTGACACCCTTCTGGGATGGTGCGTGATGTCATCACGCACATTTACCCACCATCTAGGTGACAGATGCTGGCAAAGAGAGGAGGTGACGTTAATCCGGCAGGATAAGGTATGTATAACGCTGGGTCCCCTCCTCTCTTGTGCAACTGTCGGGCTCTCGGTCCATCATCGATTGCACAGCTTTTCAGAGGGAGTGACACCAAAATGACAAAAAAACAAAAAAACAGCCTGCACTTCCGCACCCAGTGTAGCGTCAGATAGAGGAGATATCAATCTACCAAAGCATGGCATTTGTTATAAGGTGGATATTGATAAACTAAATCGCCCCTTTTCATATCTTTTGTTTACTCAAGTGTTGGGATCCATGCTATAGTTCCCAGCTCTATTTTCAATTTGGAATGAAACAACATAAGACATTGGACATCCAATAGATACCCCTCTACCGTGTCAAGAGTGCAGACTTTGGAACACAAAAGCAAAGACCTCACCACTGATGTCTATGTAAAAAAACAAACAGACTGGCATTTAACTTTATTTAATTTTATTTGCTTACCTTTCTATTGGAACCAGTGTTAACTTTGTCAGCAATTTGAGCTACAGTAGCTGTTCTGTCTGGCTAGATGCTTTGTTTATGCTTCTAGATGCTGAAACTGACATGTGTTTACAACCTTTTACACATATATGCGTTTAGATGCATCTGTTTTTTGTTCATTGAAACAGTTTTTTGCAGTAGCCAATGAGATTTCTGTAAATAAATGTGCCTTGCAATTACACACGTTTACATGCGCTTTGGTGCGTTTAGAAGTTAAAATCAAATTCAATTTTTTTCTAAACGCAGCTAAACTGACTGCAGATAAAAGCATTTCTAAACACAATGTGTGACTGGATCCATTGGAAATCATTAGATGCATGTATATGTGTTTAGAAAATCATTTTAAACACATCTAATCCAAGTGTGAATGTAACCTTAACAGGTTTTTTTCTCATAACCTTGTTTTCATAACCTAGTTTATGGAAAAGAGGTTTCGATGACATTCATGGATATCTAAGCAGAAATGTCGGGAGAATATCGGCACTGAAGATATATGGCAATATTTTCTGCTCTTCAGCTGACTTCCTGTATGGTATTCCCACATTTGCCTCCAATGACAGTTTACACATATGATTAGGCTGTGCAGAAAATATGCATAAAACTCAACCTCTCTGTATAGGGGTGGAAACATTTACATGTTACATGGTTGTGAATGTTATTGGTAGGCCCTTCACATATTGTATAGAGTATAATATATTTGTACTGGGCCAGACTTTCGCAGTGGTCGGCAACCTTGGCACTTTAGGTTATGTGGAACTACAAGTCCCACGAGGCACTGCAAGACTCTGACAGCCACTGGCTTGGCTCCCAGAAGCAGAAGCATGAAGGGATTTGTAGTTGTATCACAGCTGGAGTGCCAAGGTTGCTTATCCCTAGTTATAGTAATACCTAAAATCTGATTATAGTGTAAAATAACATTCTTCTTTAATTTACAGATAAACACATTGCAAAGATCACAAAAACCCTACAAGACAGTGGTGGGCAAGCTTGGCACTCTAGCTGATGCAGAGCTACAAGTCCCACGAGTCACTGCAAGACTCTGCAGCCACTGGCATGGCTCCCAGAGGCATTAGCATGATGGGATTTGTAGTTGTACGACAACTGGAGTGCCAAGGTTGCTTATCCCTAGTTATAGTAATACCTAAAATCTGATTATAGTGTAAAATAACATTCTTCTTTAATTTACAGATAAACACATTGCAAAGATCACAAAAACCCTACAAGACAGTGGAGTCAACTTTACTGCCATTTACACTGGACTGAAACCATCAAAGGTAAGTCAAATAGAAGTGTATGGATGGCAGTGACAGAGCTAATATTACATAGGCTTGGGACCCAAAGCTAAATTGTATGTCTTCCTCTGCCCAACGGCCTTCTGGAGAGCTATGTCTTGGGTGATGAGTGAGTAACTGAATTCAAATTATGGGTGTAATTTATGAATGCACAATTCAGAAGACTGCGATTCAAAAGACACTTCAGCCAGTAATATGAAAAAAAAACCCTACATTTGGTAGTATTCGGCCATGCTGGCTCTAGTAAAGCAGAACATTGTATCATACCTACCAGTAATTTTACTTTCCTGGCACCAATCCATGGCAGCATACTACCACAGCATACTTGGCACCAGGAAATACTGCCGGGGGAACCAGCCATGAGTAGGATTTGGTCTCCCTAGTAATGAAAGGGTTAAAGGCTTCTTGAAGCTTTTCTCATATAACCTTTTTATGGAGTAATAGCCTAACATGTTACAAACAGATGGGATCACAGCAACAAGCCTTTTCTGATATGTTCAGAGCATCTGATGAGGTGAAGATGGATACCAGTGATTAGTTGTATATTACAGTCTTGTCCTTGCCAATATATTTTGCTAATAAATTCGCACTTTGGGAATTGTGAGAAGATATGATGTAGTATGCTCGTTACAAATTACAGGGAGCCCTGTGACAGCTCAATACAGATCATTCATTTATGGTACCCTGCTATTCAGAACACCAGTGATTTACAATCCCACCTCAGGGGACATTAGATTGCAAGGGACACATATTTATTGTTGCTGAGAAAACTGCACACTGCAATTTCTACTGACACTACAAATTACTATTGCGTGGAGAAATCCGCTAACCACAATGGGCAGAAATAGCAGGAAAACCTTGCTTGGATCCTGACACCAGCAACTATATAGAAGTCAGTTGAGACCAATTTAACAATTTGTGATTGCTTGCTGTATAAGGCTTAAAGTGCGTGCTGAGTATGTAACAAAAACCTTCATATTAGGAAAAAAAAAGAAGATGATCTATAAAACCACATGAAGAAATGGGAGGGTTTATTATACGCGTTTCACACTGAGGAGTGCTTAAAGGGGAACTGTCACCTTGCCCATTTAGGGCAAAGTGATAGTATCTCTACAAATGTGACCCCCCCCAACCCACTTATATTCAGCTTTCTAGCACTCACCTACTGCTCCTTTCTCTGTCAACAATACCTGGTACTTTCGGGCACGGAGGAGCAAGTGATTCCCTCCTATGTGACAGTACGAAGTGGGAAAGGCGTCACCACTCACTCTAGCATCTGACACCAGCCAACACTGGGGATTTTAGCGATGGCTGTAATGGAGGAAAAGCAGCATACACGCAGTGGAAAGGTGAGTATCAGTTGGTTAGTGGGCCCCTTCGCAAAGACACTAAACATGTGCGAATCGTTTAGTTCCGAATCAAAATTTGGACGAGTTTTGTGAAATTCGGACACACGGACACATCAGAATTTCTGAATCCGAATTTCTGTTTCTGAATTTCGGGTCCCGTCTGGATTTTGTGCAAAAAAACGAAACTGAATCGGACATGTGACTTTTCTGGCCAATCAGATGTGTTTTTCGGTTTAATGCAGCCGAATGTGGCTGAACATGAATTTTCGTTACGGCAACATGGGAGCCATATACAGTATATACATATTATACTAAAGCTGAGAATTGCATGTGGAATCCGAATTTCTGAATTGCATTCGGGAGCTCCTGAATGCCATTCGCGTCTGGGAGCCTCATTTTTAGTAATATATATATATGGCATTCAATAGCTCCCGAATGCAACTCAGAAATCCGGATTGCGAATGCCATTCGGGTCTAGGAGATTCAGCTTTAGTATTAATATCTGTATATGGTTTTCTGTGGTAATCGCAACGAATATTCCTGAACTCATCCAAAACTAAAGACAATTTGGATTTCGTCCAAATCCGAAACCCAAACCGAATTGAGTCATTCCCTGAATGAGTAAGGTGACAGTCTTTAATCATAATCATAAAGTTTTAGAACTTAGAACTTCAGTTTAAAAACCTTCAGTATTGTATGGTATGCATGACTGCATTTAGCATTAGGCAAAATAGGCCTGTACCTATAGGTAACTTTTTCCTGTATGGTTCTTATGCTCTATGTTTTTTTTTTTTTTACATCAGTAGAAATACATCCATCGTATACAAGATGTTTTAGACGTTGTCACAATACTTTAAGCCAGGTTATGGCAAGTAAAAACAAAAATGTTCAGTGTAAAGCAAATTATCCCAGCAGAAAGGTGTTAGCACGGACAGCAATGGTTGTGTACCTATGGGCCCATTGTTAGAAATCTGGCCGTGATGATTTGCCCTTGAAAGTATGGAACTTGTGTTTCTGTTGCTCTTGAGTATCTCTGCTTTTCTTATGACAAGTCGTAACAAGTTATGATAAATCCTACAGGAAACCCCCTTGGCTAATACATCTGTGACAATGAGAATGCATTTGGCAAAACTACTATACATATTTCGAAATAGTGAGGGAGCGCCTGTCCTTTTATATTAGCAAAGTTCCAGACAAGTCACAGCTCTGCTTTGCTAGGTGGTCACAGGTTTTGTCTTTTTGCCAGAGGTGGGAGAGTGTTTTTTCGCTTCTCATTCCCCCTGCATGGATGCTGTCATAAGGCTGTACTAAGCTGTCATTGTTCCTTTATTTATACATATATACATTCCTCTAACTCCTGTATTAGTCTTAATACGCAATCGATGTACTTCATTTCATTACTTTTACAATACTTTGACCATTAGATGTAATTCAAGTGGAAATACAATTTAAATTTTTTTAAATTGTATTTATTTTAGGACAACACATTTAATACATGGTGTGCTGGGACAGTAGTGTTACAGAACATTTTAGGATTACTGAAAGGGAAACATAACAGAAGTTGTGTTCCTTCAGACTCCCACTCTCTGACTGTGACTCTGAGTCCTATGATGCATTCAATTATCTGTGTAGATTAAAGCTTGAGCTACTGAGATTGGTAAACAACATGCTTTTTTCAACTGTACGGCTAAAAAGTAAAACGTACACAAGTCAAAACAGAAACTACATGTCTACCTATTGGCTAGGAATATAAATATGAAACATACAAAAGCAATATTTGATATACACCTGACTAAAAAATAATTATAAAAAAAGCACAATACGTTCCCTAGGATAAGATAAAAGCAGATATGATTAACCTCCCTGGCGGTATTCCCGAGTCTGGCTAGGGGTTAACTTTCAGTACCAGGAGCAGTAACCCCGAGCCAGACTCAGGAATGCACAGAAAAGTGACATTTACCTTGTCCCTGCGAGCCCGCGTTGTCCTCCGCTGTACGCGGCCGGCCGATGCCGGCATCTGGGTTTTACTTTCGTTTTTGGGCGTCAAAACGGGGCGGAGCCGGCGGGAAATTCAAAAGTGAAAAATGACATTTACACAGAATACACAGAATACAATGCAATCTGCTATAATTACACTTATGTATCAAACTATTTAACTTCAATATGTTCACACTATAGCGGTGAGGTGCATTTTTCTGCACAACAAAAACAGGGACACTTCTTGAGCTGTCACAACACACTAATCCATCTGCTAAAACGCACTATTTTACAGTAGAGGATGGGCTAGTGTGACTAGGCTTTTTGTTAGAATTCTAAGCTGCTTATCCTAGATGTGTTTAATTCGGTGGCATGTTGTGCAATTTGAGTGCCTCATATGCTGTATAAGGCTTGTGGCAGTGACCCTTGAAATGTTCTGAAGGTTTTATAGAGTGGTTGCTTGCTGCTCTAGTATCATAAGATATCAAATGAAGAGTTATAAATGCTAATGATGGCTATTCATGTGAGTTTGTGAGTATCCAGAGGTGAAATATCAACTATCATGCACATCTATTACCGCAATGCATAATGGGGAAGACATAACTAATTCTTGTGAAGCAGTAAGCACAGTTGTTTCCAATGTCAAGATCCTGGTACAGGTATCTTTTGGTGCAGTGGATTTCAATAGAAGCCAAAACTTTTTAGTGTTAGATAGAGTGGAGAAGGATTAGAACATCTGTCAGGTTTTTATTGCTGTCTGGGTCCCTGTTAGGTGGATTCATCCCCTCTGGTGAGCGTTATCACTGAAAGTGATAATAAATCATACATTTTGGGTTGTCATCAGAACAGGAATAAGAGATTTCCTCTCACTTCCTGTTGTGGCTGTCAGAAACAAAATGAATGGAAATCTCCCCAATGGGACACAGATAAAAAAAAGTAAAAACAGTAAAAAGAAAAGGTGACAGGGATCCACCCCCTTACTCTATCCATAACTAAAAAAAAAAGTTTTAGTGTTGGATCATTAAACTACATTGAGTTCACATCATGGAAGGTATGCGCAAAGGTTTAGGTTACAGGAAGGATTAGTGTTAGTGTACAGAAAGGCTTAGGGTAGTGCATAGCTCGCAGCACCAGGAACTCTATGCCGAAAAATACCAGCATCCAGATAGCACTATAAGGCCAATGTATCACAGTGGAGAATTGCACTGTTACATTTTATCTTATCTCTGATCACTTCTGTTACGTCAGCAGAAAACAGTAATAAACTTTCCATGCTAACTTATTTCTTACCAATGCCAGTTTCCCAGAGTGCCTTTTTTATTTCTTCACACATAGTGACAATGACTGGATCACTTGGATGGCTGACTTTAGACAATTTATATCCACTTTCAATAAAAGTGGACCTTTGCACTAAATTAAGATTAAAACACTTGATGGACTTAGAAGTTGCAATGACTGTATTTAACTGTTTTTGTATTCAGCAATGAGCCCACAAACAAATATACCGGTACATTATTTCTCTGAATAGCAAATTATATTTAACAATGGTACAATTATATTAAATGCTGAGGTAGGATTTCAATAAAAAACACGTGGCGTATGTGATGTTTACATTTATTTCTAAGTGATTTTTTTTCCAGGAAAAAACTGCATCAG